TTTATTAAAACTGCATTAATTAATTTTTTTTTGGTTTTTTTTTTTAGTTTTTGTGTTTTAATAACGTCTTATTTTACGATTTTCACTCGGTCATATTATAATGAACATTTTATTTATGCAATATTGTATGCATGTGTAAGTAGGTGTATGTATGTGTGTGCTGCTATATACAAATACGGATAATTTGCTTACTATTTTAGAATCTGAAGTCTAAACTTTAGCTTTATTCTTTCTTAGAAATTTTTAGTCTCCTCTCTATCTCTTTTACTGCTGCCTACGCATACTTCTCTCATCTAATAAGTACGAGTATAACGTAATACGAGATTATATCGTTTAATTGCATTAGTTGATTACGAAATTTAAAGCATTTTAGTTCGTTCATTTACTTAAAAATATGTAGATAATTTCTTTGCGTAGTTGATTGTGAAATGAGCTTTCGTTCAGTGCACAATAGTGACTACAGCGTTTTCCGCTCTTCATTCTTAAACTTTCTCTCAACAGTTGGAAAGCTGCCCCGCAGATTCCAATTGCATTCAACGCCAAATCACGTGCTTGAGCTTTCACTAAAAAAAAGCTCTTACATAAGCTCAGACAAATCTTAGAAACAAAAGTGTTTACCTCTACAATTCGAATCACAAATTTAAGTTCACTACGCGCAATAATAATGTCAACGTATAATTTTTTATTTAATAATTTGAAAAAAAAATAAAAATTTCAAAAGCCCATGACTTGAGCGCTTAATAATATTTTTAAGTTTTTCGTACAATCACTAGCATTTTTTCTGTTATTCTATAAAACAATTGAGCCTTCAAATCTTGAGTCCAAGTCATTTCTTCTTACAGTTCTTTCACAATTTTACATTTTTTGCCTTTCTTTATAGTAAAAATCTTGTTTAATTATTTCCATTATTTAATTTTTGAATCAATTCTAATAACAAAAAAATTTACTACTTTTTCCCGCAAATTTTAATATATATTTGCTATGAATTTATTTTTCAAAAGTTCATTAAATTGTTTTCTTAAGTGTGTGTGTTTTTGTTTTAAATACTGTTGTGCTGTTTTCGTTTAGCTTTAGAGCTTTCACTAAATGAAAATTTACTCTTGCATTGGAAAGTGGTGTTGTTATAAAAAGAATAAGAAAGGTTTTCATATTTTATATACAAAATTTTGTAAAAGCTTTCATAAAAGTTTCCGAAAGCTTGCTTCAGTGTAGTGTATTATACGAGTATATAAATATTTTTTGTGATTACGCTTTTTTTTACTTTTTTGTGGGTAATAAAAAAACTTTATTATTGCATTAATTAACAATTGATTGTATAGACTTGCAAGTGTTTAATCGAAAAGCACGATTTGCATTGTCGTATTTTGTGTCAATTTTTTTTTCTCAGCCGGTATTTAAGAAAGTGAGTTTGAAATAACAGTAACGATGTCAGGCATGAAAGCATTTTGGAATAAATTAAAATGAATTGAGGTAAAACAGAAAAAAATTAAATAAAATAGAATAAAAAAATAGTTATACTTAAAAATTAAGTTATATGGAAATTAAAATATATAAAATAAAATAACGAAATAAAGTAGAATAGAAGTGAAAATAAAATGAAATAAATCCAAATAAAATAAAAAAAAATTGAAATAAATAAAATTAATTAATTAATTTAATAAAAATATTGAATTATAACAAAAATAGGTAAAATAAATTAATGAAATAAAGTAGACCAAAAGAAAGTGAAATAAAATAAAATAAAATTAAATTAAATAAAATAGTACAAAATAAAAAAAAATGTCCTTATTATAAATTAAAGCAAAATAAAATTAATAAAACTAAATTATAAACAAATAAATTAAGTTAAAAAATTATTGAAACAAAGTAAAATAAAAAAAAATTAAAGAAAATAACATAAAATAGAAGAAAATAATATAATTATACATAAGAATTAAATTATAAAAAAATAGGTAAAATAAAATAGTATAGAATAAATTCTTATATATAACAAATATATTATAAAAAAATTTAAGTAAATAAAAAAAATTAATGAAATAAATTAGCATAAAAGTGAAATGAATTAAAATAAAATGAAATATTACAAAATAAAATAAAAAATATAAAATAAATGCACTGAAATGGAAGGCAAATATATATATAATGATATATTTATAAAAATAAAATTAAAAAAAAATATAGGTAAACTGAAGACCACAAGGGAGTGAAATGAATGAAATAAAATAAAACCAAATAGTACAAAATAAAAAATAAAAAAATATGATAAATTAAAACAAAATAAAATTAAAAAAATTAAATTAGAAGAAAATAATTATAAAATTATAAATACAAACTAAACTATAAACAAATAAATCAAAGTAAATAAAATTTAATAAAAGGAAATAAAACAGAATAAAATAAAAAAGTTAAAAAAGTTGAAACAAATTAAAATAGAAAAATTACAATAAACAAAATAAAATAGAATGCAAAATTAAGTATTCAAATTAAGTTTTAAAATATAATATAATAAAAAAAGTAAACTAATATAAAAAAAATATATCAGACACAAGTGAAATGAAATAAAATAATTTAAAACAAAATTATTAAAGTAAATAAAATAGAATAGAAAAAAAATATAAATAAAAATAAAACTAAAAATTTATATGAAAGAAATAAAATAATAAAAAAAATAAATAAATAAATAATAAAGAAAATAACTAACATTAAATAAAATAAATTGAAATTAGAAAAAATAAAATGTAATAAAATAAAATAACATAAAATAATAAATTTAATAAATATATAGTTTATATAATAAAATAAAAAATAAATAAAAGAATAAAATAAAATGACATAAAAATAAAAATAAATAAAATAAAAAAATAAATAAATTAAAATAAGATAAAATAAAATTAAAATATTAAAATAAATAAATGGAAATTATTGAAATAAATTAAGTAAAAATAATGAAAATTATTGAAAGAAAATAAATTAAAAAATATAACATGTATTAAAAAAATATTAAGTAACCGATTGGTACCCCCGATTCGATGTGATTGTCTGTTTCGAAAAAAGTTTCTTTTTTTGAAAAAGTGAAAAGTACATCATTCCAATTAATCTTAGACGGAAGCGATTACTTTCTCGCTCTCCCTCTAGTAATTTTAGAATACTATCTCTGAAAGACGAGACCTCTTTGTCCTCGAACTAATCATTCGATATCATTTGGCATCAATGGTTTCGCCTGGACGCAGCAGCTCTTAGGACGCCCTTTGCTTTCGACGCTAAAAACACCGCTTTTCAAGCTCCGAAACCACTCCCAGCATAAACTTCCATACTTAGTCAGTTAAGCTTATCTTTCAATTAAAATAGAAAATCAAAACATCTCGCAAACGCTGTCTATTTAACAGAAATCCGAATATTTTGAAAAGGCACATACGATGTTGTGAAATCTTTCCAATTAAATAAGTAACCTCTTCCAAGAAGGAACATCAGGTCAGGAGGCAGGAGCAATACTGTGAGAATGGACTTCAATAAAATAACAAAATATTTAGCAAATATGTGAATGAGTGTCTTCTCTCGAAAGTACAGCACGCCTAAACATAGTACAAATTGGTAGACCCAGCGCTGCATAATGTCATGTGAAAGGTAGAATCGACACTCGAGAATGTGGAATATACTGTGCGTATTCTATCAATAATATTCAACTCCAGGCTTCGAGACTGGATAGACATTTTGCGAAGCTAAAGGAAGATCAAAACTCAATGGAGATTAGACGTAGTGACACGAGATGTGTATAGAGAAACACCGTAGGGCGGAGTGTTGTCACCTCTTCTTTAAACTCTCGCGGTCAATAGATTGCTGATGAAGCCATGGTTACAACTTATGCGAACCTTTGGCAGAAAAATCCTTTTGGTATATAAATATTATTAAGTTTTTGGTAGCTGAATATGAATCTCAGAATAAATTTCGATTTTCGAGATTTATAAAAACAGAAATGTAGACCAGCGAGTGAAGAAATGTAACTCAATTGAAATTTGAATTAAAAACAAACTAAAAGAAAAAATAATAATTTAAAAGCTATTAATGATAAATCTGATGAATCTGATCTGCCTGTCACCAAAGGTGCATTAAAAGTTTGTAAGTGCTGTTGCTGTTGTTTGTTTTTACTTTTGTTAAACATTATGGTAATTGAAAAATTCACAAATTCACAATTTCAGTATAAAAAGTCTTAGAAAAAAATTGTGAAAAAATGAAGAATTTATTATTTGATTTTGTTTTTCATACTTATTTAGAGTAAAATTATTAGAAAATTTATATTAAGTCAGAGATGAAAAAATTACCTAAGCGTAGAAGAAATTAATAAACTATTTTCTAGTGTTTCTAATTTCAAGGAATTCATGTATTCGCTAGATAAATATTTTATATACTTTTCGCGCACGCATCGAAGACAGGTGTAGGAGCATAATTCAAGTAAATATTTCACTAAGTAATTAATAAAAAAAAAATTAGATTATTTAATTTTTCGTTTTGCCTGCCGCATTTTATATTATCTTTTTCTACTGGAAATAAGTCAGACACGGTGTGAGAGTTTTTTTATTTTAATTTCATACATTTTTATGTACGCATGTGTGTATTATATATGACTATACACACCAGCAATTTGTTAAAGTAAGTAAATTCCAAGTTTTAATTCGTCAAGTGCATGAGAAAAAATTGCGTAAATATAATTTAATTCAAACATTTGAAACATATGTACACACATACTATGCATCATATAGTACACATATATAAATACAATATAAATACCGTACATAAAATTGTTTACAAGCAAAAAATTTATAGTTCGTAAGTATAAGTATATATACTCTAGTACATAGTACACAAATTCATATATATATATATAATCGTTTGTGCAATACCAATTGCCGTTACATATATGTATATATATATGCGCATACATATATGTAGTATATAAGTATAACACAGACAGCAGAAGACTTTTTTGTTGCTATGAACCCTAAAAACAAAATTTCATTTCATTTCTCTAATCAATAATTACTATTTAGGCATGTATGTAAGTCTATGTATGTATGTATGTATGTTTAGTTGATAGAAATCTGTTTACATAAATTTATTAAACATATGCGTATATGTATGTGTGGGTGTATTTAGAAATTTAATGTATCAAATTAGCTTTCTTAGTGTCGGAGACATCGCTGTCGCTGCCCTTTTCTCGTTTCTCGCAGAATTCTATCAAATAAGAGGCCACGCCAGATAAGGCAACAAATACACCAGCAAAATAGAATGCATTATCCCATCTGTAAAAGAGACGAAAATTAATTTAATTTTTGCTGATATTTTAAATCAAAAAATTTGTTTGCATTTATTCGTTACAGAGCGTTTAAATTATTTGCTTTCTGGTTTCTTAATTGTTGTGTTTGTTTTCTAATTGATTACATTTGTATTTTGCATCAACAGTTAAACAAAAAAAAAAACAAAAAAGGCATACATTTAGGCGCTCATATAATTTGTATTTGCACTTTACTATTTCAGCAAAACAAATTTTAATATTTCCTCTCTCTTTCACTCACCTCAGCGTCATTTCGTAAATCGCACCAGCGATTGGTGGTCCTGCAATCATACCGACACCTTGCACCAAAAGCACCAATCCGTAGGCACAGGTGAAGTCATCTAAATCCACAATACTGACCAAAATGCTGGGTGTAAATGAAAATGAACTGGCAAAGGTGAAGCCAAAAATGATGCATGCCAACAACAAGCCAATGTAACTGTACACCAGTATGGGCATTAGCAGCACGGAAACGCCACAAACTGCGAAGGAGTAAAGAGAAATAATGAAAGAAACATTATTTTTATGTAGTTACAATTTTATATACATACTTATATTTTCTGGTATTTCTTACTTACCCACCATACACGCTGAATAACAAATATTCACATTCATCCACGGACGATCGCCAACGTAACCCAAGCCGATCATGCCAATCGTTTGCGCAATACCAATTGCCGATATCATTTGTGCGCTATCCGATGTTTCGTAACCGTGCAGCTTCATGTGTTCGGGTAGATACAGATATGGAATAATGAACCTGAAGAAAAGCAAATAAGGATTCAATAATATTAATAAGATGGAGGGAAATTGAAAAAAGCACGGTAATAAAGAAATAGTTTTTTTAATATTATATTTATTTATTATATACAACATTCAGTTTAACAAATTACATATGTATATATATGTATACTCCCCGCTTTGCTACCTTTCAAACTACCATTTTTAGTACGAATTCTCCACACGACCAAATCTGTATACGAGTATACTTGTATAAGTCTTTAGTTCTTGTTTTATTATACTTGGGCCATCTGTTTTTTGTTGTTGTTGTTGTAAACGCAAAAATATATATCAAAGTATTTTTGGGGGACTGTTGTGGGAGTGACAGCCCATGGTCGGATAATTAAATCCGGGTCGTTCCGGTATAAAGACCCGATTGTCGCGGGAACTATTGGATTTTAGTCGCCTCGTTCTTGAACCCCTAACCCGCAGGGAGGAACTGTTTCATTATCTTGCAATTGGTTATAGATTTCCACCTGTTCAGAGGCATTTGCTCTTTTTAACGTTCCTATGAGGCCTTTTGTTATTCAATAGAGCTCCACAGGCTTTCTCTATACCTAATATTTCCGCTTGGAAGATGCTGGCTGAGTTTAGTGTACATAGTTAGAGAGATCCCTGCGGTGTACTCCGGATCCTACGCCGCTTTATCCAAAGTAGTTATGAGTTGCTTCACGATGTCATAACTCTTTTGAATCAATTGAGAACATACTGCTTTTTTCACAATCTCTATGGACGGTAGAAGCACATTAGGCACATCCGTTGAATAAGTCTTAATAACACCGGTTAGTTCTGCACAGGTTGCTCTCTGCATTCAATTTAGTTAGAATTGGTCTAATCTAACCACATTTGTAGGTGTACGTCTTGATGTATATGATGATTGTCCGGCCAAGATCGAACTTTCTCCGTGGGCTTTAGTCATTCATACAGTGTTCACAAAACGAAATAGACAAATATTTGCTTTGATATCAAAACCGATATTTCGCAGTTGAACGAAATAACCAAAAGCTACAGACGAAACTGGACAATGGCTGAGAGGGAAACAATAGCTACGACTATAGCTAAAGAGAAGAATACTCCAGCTGCAATTCCCCCAACGACCTCCTCGAAACGCCGCACTTCAAGTCCGGTCGAATCGAAGCACACCTCTCGTAATATGGAAAACAAACATGACGATAAAGAAGCCAAAAAAATCCAATGTCTACAAACAACCAATATCGAACACGGAATCCGTTTCTATAGCCAAAATCTACAGTAGAGATTAGAGATATTGATTTCTTAACCAAAAATAAAGAAATCCCGAAAGCAGTGACGCGTGTAACTGCAGAATCCTCCGCCGTCACCAAACTTTATACTACTTACAGAAAGGAACAAGTGAGAGAATACGCAGAAAGCACCGATAGATAATAAAAAAGGCACGCATTCAAATTTGATGGATTAGCTGTAGGCTGCGGCCAAAAGAAAGTACAGAGAGATGCTTTCGATGTTTCGAGCAAACAATCTGATAGAAAGAAAGAATATGCATAAAGGACAAAGACTTAAAGAATGCAATAATCCCTTAAACGGCTGCCTATGCAAGGAAGCAAATAATGATTAATTAGACCCAGTACCGACTTCCAGACGGTATGCGGCATACAACAGCTGCTCGAGGAAATGAAAGTTTTCCAAGTCAACATGCATGGATGTTAAGTTGCGAATGCACCACTGAGCCAAATGAAAAGATAGCGCCATTATGACGTCATTATCATATATGAGCAATACGAATAAAGGTGGATCATGCCTGGAAGATAGCATCAGCACTAGTGCGTTCTTTCTCCCCGTACAGTAAGCTCTACACCTTATCAAGCAGTAATGGTTTCGTCTGAACTCTAACATCTCTCTATTAAACACCTAGCGATGACATACGTGTATGTACACGACATTCAAGCCAAACTGGACTGCAACGAGAACGCAGTTCAGAGTTTTCTACTCTCAAGAAGTGGAACCTCTTGATACTCAATATCGGAAGAGCAACCACTTACAGGCGACCAGGATGCGATGAAGCAACATCTGACATAACATCGACGTATGCGCGCACATGCAGGCACAGTAATGGGCTGGGAAGTGCTGGAGGAATAAGCTGGAAATGATCACTAGTATATAAACTTCATCATAGAAGTTGAAGTTAGACCTGACAACATGGTAAACATAGCTCCTCCTTTGAAAATGGAATACATCAAAGCTGAACACCAGCTTGCTACCAACCGAAAGAGATGAACAAGCCATCCAAGAGAACAAATAGCAAAACGCTAGGAAATTAGTAAAAGACACAAAACAACTTAAGCGTTTGTTTCAATTATATTTTTATATTATTATTTTTTTATTTTATTTAATTTAATTCTATTTCATTTTTTTTATTTTATTTTATTTTATATTTATTTTATGTTATTTTATATAATTTAATTTAACTTCATTTTATTTAATTTTATTTATTCATTTTGTTATATTATATTATTTTCTACTTTATTTTATTTTTTCCATATTAATTTATTTTACTTTATTTTATTTGTTTTTATTTTTCATTATTTTTATATTATTATTTAACATAATATTTTATTTTATTTCATCTTATTTAATTTTTTTATTTTATTTCATTTTATTTTATTGTATTTTATATTATTTAATTTAATTTTATTTTTTAAATTTTATTACGTTATATATATTATATTTTACTTTATTTTATATGATTATATTTTATTTTATTATATTTAATTTTATTTTATTATATTACACAATTTTTATTTTATTTCATTATATTTCATCTTATTTCATTTTTTTATTCTATTTTATATTATTTTATTTCATTTTATTGCATTTTATTTTATTTTAGTATATTGTATTTGATTTAATTTTATTTTGTTTTACTTTATTTTATTTTATTTTATTGTTTTTAGTATTATTTTTTTTCAAATTAATACTATTTTATTTGTTTAATTCCTTTTAATTTATTCTGTTTATTTAATTACATAAAATTTTTATTTTTTTTATTTATTCTATAAATAAAATTAAAAGGAATTAAATTAAATAAAAATAAATAAAATATAATATAAAAAATAAAATCATTTTATTTTGTTTTATTTTATTTATTCGATTAAATTATTATAACCTTCATTCTATTTTAATTTGCCTTATATTTTATATTATTTCATTAAATTTTATTATATTTTAATTTAGTTAATTAAATTTTTTTATTATTTTATATTTCATTTTATTTTATTTTATTTTATTTTATTTTATTTTATTTTATTTTATTTTATTTTATTTTATTTTACTTTTCTTTATTTCCTTTCACTGTATTTTATTTTATTTTATTTTATTTTATTTTATTTTATTTTATTTTATTTTATTTTATTTTATTTTATTTTATTTTATTTTATTTTATTTTACTTTTCTTTATTTCCTTTCACTGTATTTTATTTTATATTAATATTTTCACTTTTATTTATTTAGTTTTTGTTTACTTTATTTAATTGATTATAAATTATTATTCTTTATTGGAATAGTTTTGGCATGATCTTACACAATTTTCTATTACAAGTGCCATATCCAAGAATAAAATGAATTTGCATGATGTACACGTGTACACTCACATATTTTTACATTAAAATATATACATACTCGTACATGTATGCATATGTATATGGTAGTTTGGAAGAATGCCTCAACGTAAAGACAATTATGCATAACAACGTCGGGTGAGTGCCTGCCAAGATTATTTTAGCGTAATTATTTATCGGTTTTATTGCACCGCTTTACGATGGTGTTATACACATCCATATGTACTTATATACTATAAGAAAATATACATTAATTGTTGTAACATGCATACATACATTCTCATCATGAAATTAATATAAATATTTTCGCTTTCAAATGAATTTTAATACTGTTTTTTGGCAAAATTCGCTTACATCAGAATGCAATAATTGTGCAAAAAGGCCATAATCGAATATATCACCAACAAAAAATGAATGAAATCATAGAAGATAGAAATTGTTTTCTAAATATGGAAAACCGAGTTTCGTTGCATTATAAAAGAACGGGGAAGGGGGATTTCGGCACGTGTCTATATGTGAGCCAAGAATGTGGATTATATAGTGCCAAAAATGAAGAACCTTTGATATTATCTTCTTTATATTCATAAGCAGAGTGCCATATTTAACTATTTAATAAATAAAACCGGTAGTCAAAATTTCGAATCTTCTACAGAACATTTTTAGAATATAAAGGGTGTTATTTTGTGGTATTCAATGAGGCGACCTCCTCGAAATTGGCATATGACAGCTTTTATTTGACTTATACTGAGTTTAGTTTGCCATTTCATAATGAGCAGACTTACTCCGGAACAATAGCAGAGTCGGTAATTTGAGCAATCAAAGATCAGTTTCGCATCACGTTTACTCTAATGGATAATGCGCATACTCAGACAGGCCGTGAAATCCTCCGCTTTGCTGCTGTGGTATAGAGTATAGTAGAAGACCCGCACAATTGCAGCTGTATCCATCAACTTTTTGTAAAATTTTGCGAAATTTCGATGAAACTCACTTTTGGTTGGTTAGAAGAAAATTTTTGCTTTTGGAGTTGCTGCAAAGGGCGGTGGAAAATTAATACTCTCGGTTGGAATTTATTCGAGCCAGCCGTTCGATATCATTTTTAAAACATAATGGCAAACACTTATTTTCATAATAAAGCTAGTTTCTTGTCCATAAAATTAAATTATATCCGTTTTGGTACTTCTTGAAAACCACACGTCTAAAAAACACCCTTTAGTATGTCCAATTATGTTAATGTGGACAAAAGTTTAAAGAAATCAGAGTTTAAAAATGATTCTTTCGAATCGATCGTTTCAAGCTCCCGGTTCAGTCTGTTGATCCAGTTATGGTTAGATTCATCAATACAAAATTTTCGTATACTGGTGGGGTCGATAGGACTTTGCGTTTTAAAATTTGTAATAGAAAAAAGATAGATAAATAGCTTCCAATGATATTTCATTGTTGAATTACCTCGATGGAACCTCCATCATTCATATGGCTATAGCGGCTGGCCTTGAAGTAGCCCATTTTGTGGATCTAATTTTTTTTAACAAAGAATGTGGTCCATTACGGCGGCTTCACCCACAGAAAATGTCTCTGTGAGGCGGTTAGTTGTCTGACTGACTCCCGAAATGAAAATGAGCTCCATCGGAAAAATCATCTTTCATAAAAAAATGCCGATCTTAGGCCAAGCAATCTTTAGGCCTTTGAGCGAGGCGAAAATGCATCATTATTTATGCAAAATCCTACAGAAAGAAAGGCGCGAAAGTTTTCTGAACACATCGGACGGGTACGAGAACGTACCGGAAGGGCACTACGTGAGTTGTTTGTCCGAGAACGTACCGGTTTGGCTGACCCGCTGCACAAACGGTCTGGACGGCGAGTTACTTTGCCTGAATTTCGTAGATAACTTTCGGCCAATCGAGGTTGAAGACTCACTATTTTGGAAGCAAGTTTTCAATGTTATCCCATTTTCTTCAAACCTAGCCATTGTACTGATTGAAGATGTTGCAGCTCCAATAAGCCGTAGTTCAAAAATCAAACGGTAGATGGCCGAGCCGATAGATCGATGTCTGAGCTACTTCCCGGAAAAAAATATGAATTTTCCTTCATCAACTGAAACAAGTCGGTCGCAGCCGTTCTCAATTCGTGAGTTAGTAACTCAATTTTATATACAATTTTTTTTTTTAATTTTTTTTTTTGAAATATATATTAAATTTAAGACACCGTATAAATAAAATAATACTCACCATATGAATAAGAACAATGTTGATAAATTAAATAATGTAAATTTCAAATCCATAAACATTGAAAAATCAAATACTGTCTTCATCGTGTCAATTACGGTTTCGTACCATGTCTGAAAGAGATAATTTTTAAATAATTTGTTAAATAGTTATTTCATTTTGAATCAAATGCACTAGTGCTATTAAAATATTTGAAGTGAATATAAAAATTTAAGACCATTAAAGATAAAGATAAATTGGGCAGGAAAGAAGAGCTGTCTTCATGACGATATCAAACTATTTTTATGATGAAAAATTAAGCCCAGATTCAACTTAAATTTCTTTAAAAAAAATTTTCATTTTTCCTTGTAAATTGCTGGAAAATACTCCGAAAATCCGCAAGACCAAGAAATATGTATAGAAGAGCGGAGCGCGTCAAGCGATAAACCCTCACGATCAAAAACTTAAATCGCTTTTTTCTCGAAACCACGTTTTACAACTGGGTGACACTCTCATTTCCGCCCTATTAAACTTATCAACATGAACTAAATGGCATTTCACTACTGAAATGTCATATTTAAAAAATTTATACACGGTGTGTCATAAAAATAACGAAACTTTATATTTAAATCATACAACATACAGCGCCATCTATTGAAAATTTGCAACATATACATTCATCCTCTTTTAAACGCACCTAACATCATGTAAGTCGGATGACAGTTGCTGAAGTGACAGCCATTTCAATAAAACCAAAAGTGTGCTAATGGTATAAAGAGCAAATATAAAATTTTGTGTCAAACTTGAAAAAAAAAAATTAATGAAAAAAGTTTATTGTGATGATTGTATGAGTCGTACGCAAGTTTTTTCCTGGTTTACACGATTTAAAAATGGATTTAAATGACGACCCTAGAGCGGGACGTCCAGAAAGTAGTAATCGTGCTGAACTGGTGGAAAAAGTCCGTGAGATCATTGGTATCGATGCAAATTTTACTACGAGAATTTTTGGCTGAGGAATTGAATACGAGTAAAAACACTATTTGGAGAATTTTAACTGAAGATTTGGCGAAAAGAAAGGTCTGTGCGCGATTTTTTCCACATGAATTAAATGCCGACCAAAAAATCGCTCGAATTTTTAATGAAAAAAGGGATTTCTCTCATCGACCGTCCTCCGTATTCGCCTGATCTATCACCAAGTGACTATTTTTTATTTTCAAAACTGAAAACCAAGATGAAGGGAGCATTTCATGATGATATACCGGACATTTAAGCAGCCGCAACCGAGGTACTGAAGAACATTTCTATAAATGACATAAAAAACTATGCATGCGCTGGTTGATCGTTCCGAACTTTGTGTTGAATCAAATGGAACCTATTTTGAATAAATAATAACTTTCAAAGATAATATAATGTTTATTTTATTTTATATCCAAAATGTTCGGTTATTTTTGGGACACACCCTGTAGACAATTAAATTGAAAAGAAGGTAATATTATATAGTTTGCAATTTTTTCTTTTTTTTTTGTGAAAATGTTTCATTATAGTTCCGACCATAGCCAATGTGATACAGATTAAGAAACCGTTTTGATTTTTGCTTTCGGTTGATTCGTTTTACAGTTATCGTGTCACTCACCAACAAAAGGGACAAGTTTCAGTAGCCGTAGTTTAAAATTTTTGTTTTCAATTAATATTTTTATGCGTCTACTTATCTACATAAACTTTGATTTTTGACTTAAAAAAAAATAAAATAAAATTTGTTTGAAAAAACACGTTTTTTGTAAGAACCTGGTCTCATACTCATAACTGAAAAATTGGTTGAAGGGTCTATCGCATATAGTTTTGCGATTTCGTTGATTTTCGTTTGTTATTAAGATTTATTGATGCATAAAAATGTATTACGTATAGTAAAAAGTAATCCATTATTTTTGCATTCAATGTTTTATTTCCCAAACTCAACACAACCTAACCATTCTGGCCACCAATCTCCTGGCTTATGCTCTACGATTGCGACCGTTTTCATTTGATTTTGCTGTAAGTGATTCACATTTCATCACCAGTCACCAGCTGCTTCAGATATGGGTTGAATTTGTTACGATGCAGCAGCGTTTCGCAAATGGAAATAAGGACCATGAGGGTTTAACTCATGGGTGCAATATGAACTTCTTTGTATAGCAAGCCTATTTCATATGGTTTCAAAGTGTTGGATGAGTGCATAAGTTCGTGCCCGATTTCAAGTGCAAACTAAAATTGAAATTTTTTGAAGAAAGCGCTTTTATTAATCAATTATGTATTCGCCATCATGTTCGGCAATCCACTCCCAACGTTCAACCAATTTACGGATGCCTGATTCATAGAAATCGCGCGGTTTCTCGTTGAAAAAGGTGTCAAGGTGGTTTTTGACGTCTTCCACATTTTTAAATTTTTTTCCATTCAAATTGTTCTGCAGCGATCGAAACAAATGATAATCAGAAGGTGCAATGTCGGGTGAATATGGGGGATGCGGCATGATTTCCCAATTCATCTCCTTCAGTTTGGCCAGGGTCGGTTTTGCAACATGTGGCCTGGCGTTGTCATGATGGAAAAGAACTCCTTTGCGATTGGCCAAAATCGGACGTTTTTCATCAATTGCTTTCTTCAATTCGACCAATTGCTGACAATACTTGTTGGCAGTGATCGTTTCTCCAGCTGGCAAGAGCTCAAAATAGATCACGCCTCGGATATCCCACCAAATGCACAGCAGCTCAGCTCAGAAGGTCGTCCACTGCGAGGTTGATCTTCGAGGTTAAAATCTCCAGAACGAAATTTCGCGAACCATTTCTTTACTGTGTGGAGTGCTGGAGCACGGTCCAAATAAACTTCGCGAATATCTTTAGTTGCAGCGCCTACTGTTTTTCCTTTACGGAATTCGTATAACATAATATGACGCATATGATCTTTTTCGTTGTCCATCTTCCATGCGTCTTTTCACTAAGCAACTCAAGCGGAAAATACGGAGCTCTAAGGCTATCTATTGCAAAAATAATGTAATACTTTTTACTGACGAATATAGTACTAAATTTCATGCACTGAGGGGTTTTTTGGGGGGAGTTTTGACTAAAGTCTCATTACTGAACAAATCAGCTGTTGGGAGCTACTTGTTAAAGTCTTCTGATTTCGAGAAACTTCAATTCGATTGTGTAATTAATTATATGTGTGAAGAATTTCAAATTTCAGGAGAAATCGGTCTGGCTAATTCTAACAAGTGATCGTGCAGTAGTTCCGGTGATCTGATGAGGACGAAGAATAATGCCACAGGGATTGCCATCTATCCAAACGGATCCAAACTAGGCAATCGAAAAGAAGATGTAGTTTTTGAAAAAGATGGTTGTCAGTGCATCCATACACAGCTAGCCAAACTACTAATGTCATTCGGGATGGCGATTAGATCTAGGTAAAGAGGCAATATAGTATACTTATACCTCTGGCTACTGCTAAATATTTAGTTGATAAACATATCAAGGATAAAGCTAAATATCCTTGAAAACAATCATCGCCTTGTCCAATAAGCAAGCATAGGTGGCCAGAATTGAATGAGGGTCACACATGACGGTTATTGAAATCTAAAAGAAATGACGTAAGTACTCTATGATGATGACCCGGCGGTGCACTAGAGATACCATTTAACATCTATTGCAGAAGTGGACAGTAGGTGGAAGAAGAGACGACGGAGAGCAATTTTTGTGCGAGTGCAAATCATTGTACAGCAAAACATTCGCAATTATCGATATCAGGTTTCCTGACGATAGCTTGGTAGTTTCTCATATTCTCATATTAAATTATTTTGGTTAATCAGCTGTATTACGATATCAGGATGGTTCAGAGAAGACATGCTAATGTAAGGGAAGTCCCAATGGTATCACAAAAGCTTAGGTGCGTTGCAAAACAGCCATTATACATACCTACTTATCTACCTAGCTATCGAAAGGGAAACATTATGTGAAGATCTACCTTTTTTTTATCGAGAAATTGGGCTCAGCAAAGAAACTCGTTTCTGGTTTCTGGTTGAATGGATACTTGAATAAGTGATATCACCGTGTTTGAAGGGAAGAGCAACCAAAAAAATTGCTAGAACAACACTCAAACACTGTAAAAAGCTACTACTGGGTGTGGATAATGAGCTGGATACATCATTCTGGCCGCATATAACGGCCGAAGCCCTATCAATTGATAGGCGAATAAAGTGGGCAGTTTATTTCACGTTAGGACAAACTCAATTGAGTGCCTAGATCGTTCAATTTAACACCTCGTAAACTATTGGATGTGTGCATAAGTTCGTGCCCGATTNCGATTTCTATGAATCAGGCATCTGCAAATTGGTTGAATGTTGGAAGTGGATTGCCGAACATGATGGCGAATACATAATTGATTAATAAAAGCGCTTTCTTCAAAAAATTTCTATTTTAGTTTGCACTTGAAATCGGGCACGAACTTATGCACTCATCCAAAACTTTTTGTGGGGTTATAGCCTATGTGTCATATGAAGAGCAAAAATACCACAACGATTGAAGCTAATATTGAAGAATTTATTCCTTGGATAGAGAATGTCAAAGTTGGTCTGGCCGTATGGACCGTTTGCCTGTTGGCTGTTGTTCAGATCACCACTCTAACCACGGCCGCCCGAATGCCAGGACGCCAAGCTAACTACTCAACTGAATAGAAGAAAGAATTTCTGTGAATTTTCTAGCTCTCTTATGAGCAATAAGTACTATCTCTAGTACAGGCAGCTAGGGGTAGAATGTCTTGCATACGCGGAGATTTTAAAAACTTCCTAACGCTTACAGTAAAATTTCATTACAACACCTTACTTACGTCTTCTTCTTCCTTAGCGATAGTCGTCATCGAGTTCCTGTATATGTTGGGACACGAAGATGCACGCAGTCGATAACGATGTGTATTCAGCATAGCGCCCCGATAATGTATCGAGTTACGATGTATACGCATATTTTTGAGAAAATTCGAATTCTTTATCGACGTATTATAGCGCAGACTCGGACGTACACCAACCGGCTTCTTTGACTTTGACAGCCGACGCATACCACTAATGCTGTCGGCGCGTGCACGTCTCGACGACTTGGTGGCGGCGGCGGCCTCGTTCTCCGGTATCGTTACAATTGTCGGATCATTGTGATGTTTTCTAAAATTACCATCTAAAAGGCCAGTGGTATCGTTTTTAATTGACATATAGTAAGTCTCATCGCTCAGTATATCAACTGAATTGTGCCGCAAGCCATTCGGCTTTAAGTCTCCAAATGTAGCATAGGCATTTTTCGCGCTAAAGAAATTCTCATTTAGAGAGTAACGTGAGTTGGCGATATTTCCCTCATTACTGGTATTGCGTTGATATAGACGCGGAGTTGGTGGTAGTACATTTGAATGTACACCACCGAAATCATGTTGCGAAGACATCGAACCGCACGATGGTGTAGCACGATCAAATGAATTTTTCTCAGACGGTGAGAGTGTCTCCATTGAAGCTAAAAAGCTCTTTTTCGCCTCCTCAGCAGCGGTCTCGGCAATGCCGCCCATCATTGTGTCATCTGGTGAGCCGATAATGGTTGCCGTTGGATTGGGACCAGTCGATGACATTGAGAGTAAATTTTCGCGTGAAGGCGCTTCCATGCCCTCCTTGTGACGCAGCGAACGTCGACTGCGGCTTTTAATCTCGTACGGACATTCTAGATCCTGCGAACCCAAATAGGTTGGTAGGAATATTTCACTACGATAGCGTTTCATAACGTGCTCATGAGGATCATCAATCTGCTGATTGGCTTCGGTGTTATTCTTCGTCACCAAAGTGTCTAGTACAGCCTCCTTGGTTATGCCTGTATCGAGTAGTTTTTTAATTTCCTCAAGACAAACGCTTGAATTCGAAAATGTGGTGACACTTTGTGAACGGCTCTCGAGTCGGTTCTCCTCAATCAGCCAATCGGGATCTCGCATCAGCGCGCCACACACACAAGTATTGAGCATGGTGCCGGCGAGTATGAGTGTAGCGCCACGCCAGCCGTACGTGTCGATGAGCCATTGCGTGAGCGGTGCATATAAGAATGTGCCAATACCCGTGCCCGAAGCGCCAATACCCGTGGCGAATGTACGTTTCTTATCGAACCAAAAAGCGATTGATACCACAGCTGTCACATAACCAATACCCAGTCCTAGGCCGGATATGACGCCAAAAGTTAACATCAACATCTCCACTGAGTTACAAAACGAAGACAGTCCAAATCCAATGGCCGACAGCAGCCCGCCAAAAATAGTCATCTTACGACAGCCATAATTGTCAACTAAATTTGACCAAATCGGACCCATCAGCAATGGCACCGAGAAGAACAATGAACTAATCCAGGCTGTCTTCGAGGGCGATTCGCCAAAATAATCCAGCAATTGTGAATTGATGAGACCAAATGAGAATGATAAGCCGTCCGCGATTAGCGAGACGACAAGTGAAGACATTACGACTACCCAACCGTAGCCACCATCCGGTATTTCCGGCTTCTTCTTATCAGTCGAACCCGAATCTATCGAATCGCCCGATTCATTTGAAATTAAACGCGTACGCTTCTTAACATCATTACCCTCCATTAATGCGAATGTTGTTGTTGTGTTGATAGTGCTAGTCAAGCCGCCATTACCATCGTCTACGGTGATCAGACAATGTTTGATTAAACGTTCACTGGCCGCATAATCGCCATCACCATCGCCATCGCCATCGCCGTCATTTAAGTCACTGGCCGAGAGGTCGCAAAACTTCACCTCGGGGAAGAAATCATGTTTGATGGATTTATTCAGTGGTGTTGTTGTGGGTGTAGGCGACATGGAGGCCGCAATCGATTCGATCTCCGTGGGTGTGGAGAGGTTCTGGTAGGCTGCACCGTCTGGCTTGGCCTTTGTATTGGTTTGATTCGCAACCATGTTGTGGGGTGTTGTGTATTATAACTAACGGGGTGGTGGTTTTGGTGGTGGTGATGCAGGTGGTGTGGTTGTTTTTTACGAAGATTGGTACAAAAACGATTTTATGCGATTTATTTAAGGTATATTTAACGGTTTTTTTCCAATTATAAGTTAATTCAATAATTTTTTTGTTGTTGATTTTTTTTGTTTGTGTACGTCTGATTTCGTCTTGAACACAATGGATTTCAGCAAAATTTCGTTTATTGTACTCGACCTTTTCGTTATGCTCCAGGAATATTTTTTCTTTTTATTATTTCTTAAGCTCTTAGTTTCTTCTTCGTCTTCGTCTTCTTCTTCTTCTATTAAGTTTTCCTTCAGCGCTATGCTCACGGCGCAAGCACGTGGTCTTCTCTGTGGCGCTCCGAGTCTGTCTCCTCGTCAGTTTTCGACGTTCTTGAGATCTCGTACACACCAATACTCGTCCGCCGCTTCAAAGTTTCGTATATTTTTGATAACGATACGAGTAGGTCTATTTGTGTTGCTCTTCTTATTCTTCAAAAGCGCCTGGTAATCTATATCCTGCTTGAACTGTTTCTATTTCAAAAAATATACGACGCACCACACGACGATTTGGCGCTGAGAAAGCGACTGTGGCGAAGCTTGCAACGGCTCTCTTTGCGTGGTTTCGTATTCACAGCAATATGCCAACAGTAAATAAAGCTCTATTTATGTTTGCGGGTCTAAGCTGGAAGTTCCTGAAATGAGAAATGAAAATCATTATTATTTTTAGGTAAAAATTAAAAACATTATAAAAAAACAAAAAACAACAAATAAAAAAAAAAGAATTCCCCAAACAATCACTTGGCTTGAGAGACCCAAGCGCCATATAAAAACCACTGGAAAGAAGTAAACAACTCTTTCTACGTCATTGGAAAGACTTTGTCTGCTCCGCTATGGCATATTCTTCGACAGAGTTTCTCACTCGTTCATCAGTTTCCCCCAAAGATATAATATTAGGTTGTCAAATATCTCCCTTCCGCTTTTTTGTCTTTTGAATTTCGCGGCTAAGTACAAAGCGCTACAGAGCTCATATCTGGCAGCACTATACACAATTTGAAAGGTCTTAACATTACCTACAAAACGCTATGCATGATTAGTTTGGATATTGCGTTCAACAGTTATAGACGTGTAAACATGGAGTTCACTAACGCCGAAATTCGCGCTATTTTAAAGTTTTCCTTCGTTAAAGGCAAATCCGCTAGAGAAACGTTCCGTGAGATTAATGGTGTTTTGGGGGATGGTACTCTATCACTTCGAACCGCGGAGGAATGGTTTCGACGATTCAGAGCCGGTGAAAACGATACCATGGATAAGCCAGCCGACGGAAGACCTGTGACGACAAATATCGATCAAATCATGGAATACATCGAGTTAGACCGGCACCAAACCATTTTGAACCATCTGCAGAAAGCTGGATACAAAAAAAAGTTTGATGTTTGGGTGCCGCATAATTTGACGCAAAAAAACCTTCTGGACCGAATCAACGCCTGCGATATGCTGCTGAAACGGAACGAACTCGACCCATTATTGAAGCGGATGGTGACTGGCGATGAAAAATGGATCACATACGACAATATCAAGCGAAATCGGTCGTGGTCGAAGGCCGGTGAATCGTCCCGAACAGTGGTCAAGCTGGGATTGACGGCCAGGAAGGGTTTGCTGTGTGTTTGGTGGGATTGGAAGGGAATCATCCACTATGAGCTGCTTCCATACGGCCAGACGCTTAATTCTACCATCTACTGCGAGCAACTGGACCGCTTGAAGCAGGCGATCGACCAGAAGCGTCCAGAATTGGCCATCAGGAAGGGCGTAGTGTTCCCCCAGGACAACGCCAGACCACACACTTCGTTGATGACTCGTCAGAAGCTACGGGAGCTCGGATAGGAGGTTTTATCGCATCCACCATTTAGCCCGGACGTAGCGCCAAGTGATTACCCCCTGTACCTGTCCATGGCGAATGCCCTTGGTGGTGTGAAGTTGAACTCAAAAGAGGTTTGTGAAAAGTGACTGTCAGAATTCTTCGCAAATAAGGAGGGGGGCTTCTATGAGGGAGGTATTATGAAGTTGCCGTCTAGATGGAAACAGATCATCGAACAAAACGGCGCATATTTTAAAAAGCATTGAATGAAGAGCAAAAAAGCGGAAGGGAGATATTTGACAACCTTAATATATAAGCTCTTTAAGAAATTGACTTTGAATAGACCGTAGCGAAGCTCTTATGAAAAAGAACATCTTCACATGGAAGCTGAGAACCACTGGCGACATCGTTCTGGGAGCGACAGAAACGGACTGCCAAACTGTTGTAAGGACGATGAGCTGGATATAAACCGGAGATTCGAGGCACTTCCTTTTAATCGCGCACTCTCCACCGGGGTTAAATATCTTAATTGAAGCCGAAGCGCGGTAGAAAGGTCGTAATTATCCTTAAATTTCTTCTCCACCTATAAATTCGTATGGTACCTTGAAACCTTAGAGGAATCGTTATATAAGCCAAGGGCCAACATTATCTCTCATCGGATGACACAAAACTCGAGACTGTAAGTTACCTTCTACCACTTTAGATTCAGAGTAGAAAAAAAAATTTTGTCGCAGCTGCAGAAAGTTGAGAAAGAATCTGTCAAGCATGATGCGATATCGATTCCCTGGAGAACATTTTTTTCCTATCTACAACTAGCGGAGACAATCTCGCAAGGTTTATCAGACACAACAAATGGTTCGTGCATCTGGGAGCTTTACAATGGGACTAGAAAGGGCCAATAGGCCTAAGTGCGCTGATCATATGGTGTATGTCACTAGGGGCTACATCAACTCAACTCAATTGGTAGGTCAAGAAGTATATAAGAGAGTTTTTAAATTACGTCAAACTTATCCGCACCTTAATGATAATGACTTTGCTGCGACCCGAAATATAGCTGTATGCACAATCCCCTTGCCTTTCTGTGGATTGAAAACTCGAAACCGTATGGATCATGTTATTAAGGATGGTTGACATGTCTCCAGTACTCTAGACGGACGTACACTCCGATAACTTGATTTCACTGCTAACTGGTTCCCCTGCCACGGTTTTCTATACAACCTTCTAAGAGCACTTATTATCAACTCGTACAAGGGAACTGCGGGTTGACATTCCTAGCTCCCTACCCACAGCCACAAATTAATCTTTTGGTTTTCCGTAAGGTAAAAAGAAGAACTTTTCTAAAGAGAATCACGGTGTTGTAGTTGGGAGAAAAAAATACTTTTCGAAGATTTTACAATATGGAAAAATGCGGTTACTAAACCGGAGCATAGTCATAGAGACCCCAATGAGTTGATCTGGCAAATGAGTTCATAGACGCAGCACTCTCAAGCTTGCTGAATGGCACTGGAAGTGAAATGCCTGGGATAGAATAGCCTACCGGCTGAGCTACTTAATAACCTAAGGTCCTCTCGAGCATATTGATTGAAAGACTAAATCCCAACTTCAACAACTGATGGAACCATGCCCTCTGTTGACCAGATATTCACGATGCGTCAAATCGTGGGAACGAAGACAAGAAGAAATATATCCGGTCATCAAACAAACTGTCAACGCATTCGCGACACGGTTCCCGCGTCACTGTTGACAGTCATTATTTTGAAGTTGTGGATAATTTCGTCTATCCAGGGACCAGCATTAATACCAATAATAACGTCAGTCTTGAAATCCAACACAGAATCACTCTTGCCAACAAGTACTACTTTGGACTGAGTATTCAATAGAAACGTAGAGTAGAGAGATGAGTAGGATGTGTGAGGCATGCAAGGAGGTGGCCAGTGCCGTTTGTGGTCTCATTCCAGCTCTTAATTGTGCCAGTATTACCTAGAAGGTCTTTCACTCGAAGAGATTTCAAAAAGGTGTCAACGGACGCTTGGTCAGTCGCATTGAAAGCCGGTGGGTACGCCGTCTTGTTCAGCGGTTCTCGAATGTGGTCCTAAATGCAGTCCTTGTAGTCGAGCACTTCTTTGCTGATGTGCCTACATGGTGGCTGATAATTCCCAAATAGACGATAACAAAATCTGATGACTCGGCGTTAGGAGATTTCAAGATAAAGTCTTTGGGTAAGTTATAAGTGTGGTCCTTTAAGCATTGATAATGGCAAATATCGCTGCTAAAGAGCTTTACTAGATGACATAGCCCGGCGTATGAAGAGACCGCGGTTACGCTTGCTAGGACATGAATGGATGATAACACTCCAGCTCTGAAAGAATTCGATGTAGGAACCGCCACTGGCGGTGGCAGAAAAGACTTCCACTGCGTCGGAAGGATCAGGTGAAGGGGCAACATAACAGAGAAAAGTAGGCAGGAATGGTGCACTGTTCTTAACTCGACTATAAACACGTAAGAAGAAGAAAAAAGTAAGAATAAGAATTCATTAATGAGTTGCATGGAGCCGTTCTGCACTGATTCATTAATTTGGTTGATTGGTTGCCGGCCGTCAGCTAACGGGTCCAATGAGCTCCACTCGCTAATCAAATCAATGTCTGGAGTTTGCAAAACTAAACAGTCGTCATATCCTTGCGTCTGATATCTCGTTCAGGTCACTAAAAGTTGAGACTTCAACCTATACATACGCAAAGGGAGTTCCTTAATGTTTTAGATTTCTCTTGTTGTCAAGAACTTCTGCATAAGTCTCATTGGCTGATACGTCCAACCTCTCTGCAGGCGTGTCTATTAGAAGAAGACCTCGTAAGAAGACCCCTGTAGATATATCCTTTCTTTTTAGTTTAATAGGACTACGTGTCCTACTTCTGTACCATTCTAGTCCCATTGTCCTTGTCATATTACACGCATTGAAACTTGTCCAACTTGAGTTAGCATCAGTGATGGTTAACTCTTCTATTGTGCGCTTATAAGTGGAGAGCTCCATGCGACAGGCGAAGGCAAAAATGGAAGCTCGTGTGTCCAGGCACCCATATGAGGATCAAGGATAACAGAAAAAGTCATCACGTTACGTGATATGTGGCAGTTCTCTAGGGTTTTCGATTTCACTGTTGGAGATCCAGGTCTCTAAATGCGGTCTGATTATTACTGTGGAAATTAGTAAAATTACTCAAATGTTCTTTTCACTGATTTTAAGCGACTCAGCGACTGGCTTAAACTAATTAAAGAGTAAACACTTTTGAGTACCAATTTCTGAATATTTCTAACTCACTTTTCAATCAATTAATATTTGAAGACACTTTTTTTTTTTGGAATATTTAAGTTCAAAATCTATAAATTTTTTGGCACATTCTTTGTTGCTATAACTTTCTGCATAACCCAAAATTTATTTTATACTTTTTTATTGACACAGCCAAGGATTTAATTGAGGAAAATATTTTTTTTTTTTTTTAATTCTTGCTGCCCCGTTATTATTTAATATTTAATTTTCACTGCTGCTCAGTATTCGATAAACAGAGAAAGCAGGAAGCATCTCCTTGCAGTGACTCGCCGAGACTGTTTTGTTTTCGAAAACAACAACAAATTTTTTCGCAAACACTAAAAATAAAAATAGAAGAAAATCCCTAAAAAAATATATATAAATATATCGAATAAAATAAAATAAAATAAAACGAAGAAAAATGAGAAAAAGTGAAAATGAAATTGCAATTATTTTGTTTTGCCTCTCGACTTGACCTCTCAAATATTGGGAAATAATAGAAATTGAAAATAAAAATTGTCAAGTCACACACACGTAAATACCCGTAAATAGATGTAAGCGGCATGTAATGTGAAAATAAAACCAAAATAAAAACCGAATTGCTTGTGGCGAAATACACAGACGATTTAATGAATGAGCATGTCGTGTATACCCTGTAGGAAAAATTTAGGTATGAGTAATTTTTAAATTGGATTGCAAAAAGGCAATGCTTTTTCTCTGTTATAATAGCAGAGATGGCGAGATGAAAAGCGAGCAAGCGATAGCGCGAGAGGGAGAGAGAAAGAGAGAGAGAGAGAGAGAGAGAAAGAAAGGTACCAGTTTGTGGGCTAAAATAAGCGGTTTTTTTTTCGAATTGTGATTTTAATGAAGAAACCACACGAATATAATTTATTCATATGACGAAGAGTTTCTGCTCAATTTTTATTTTTTTTTTTGTAATCAGGGCCGTTTGTCAGCAATAACAAGACGAATATTCTCTTCAAAGGGGTGAATCAAACGACGTCTCTGAAGATGCGCATTTATCCAATAGAGTAAAACCAATCTATGGTCGTTCCAATCGTCTGCTCTGCTGCGTTTATGACGAGGACGCATTGCTTCTCGCGAGCCGAACTATTGTTTTGGTAATAAATTTGCCCGATTCACAACCACCACTATTTCAGTGTAAGTCTATTCCATATGAAATGACACACCAAATAGAGTATAGATCAAGTTGCAGTTGTCAAAAGACCAATTGGTAACTAAGAGTACTCTGTTCGATCAGTAAGAAAGGAGATCATGTAGATAGTTTGCGCTGATAGGAAAAAATCTCTTCAGCCCAGTCCATTTTCTCTGATAAAGGATAGATTGGAGAATTCGAAATTGTAGAGCAGTAACCTCATATTATAAAAGAAGGTCTCTTAAAGGCACGTCGGTATATTTCTGAACTTAACCTTCTTCTTCTAGGACCTAGTTTATATTTGGTTGAGTTCTGTTGATTAATGCTTTAAATAGTCGACTTTGGATCAAGCGAATGGTAGAAAGTGAGTAAGCCCTTACATGGAACGAAGGCAACCGTACTCAATATATGCTCATACCAGACTATGGGAATCAAAAGCCCTATATTTCATTGAATTATCTACGCTGTCCAGTAGTTTCTGGCATATACTGATTGATCTAATAGTGTGTGATGCCATGCTCACCCGAAATTATCTGCAGCCCTCATATTTTTCCAATTAAATACAATAGTATTTACGAGGGAATTAATAAAAGCTCGGTCAGTTGGGGATTTTCCGCCAAATCATTTGCAATTACTCCACTAGTCTTTCTTTCAAATTTTAGAATGATCGGCTGAAATGAAAAAGAGAAAATGCAAGGTAGGTGAGGGTAGATCAAACGAAATTACACATCCAACGAAAACAGAAATTCGCCAAGTGGCTCTCTTCGGGTTCAGTGAATGCCGAATTGCATATAGAGCAATTGCACCATCTCTTCAGTATATTTCTAGGAGATTCTGATGATTTCAGAGCGTACATTTTTCCGTAGAGAGCGAGCGCTGAGACGATGGACCAAAACTCTTTGACTTATGACGTCACTGTAGCTCTGGTGAAGTCCAAAATTGACGAAAGCCCACGATTGACACCAGAAATGATTGCTAATGAGTTGAGCTTAAATGCCGTGGCTGTGTCGCGGATACTAACCAATCAGCTGCAGTACACGAAGAAATCGGTTCGTTGGGTGGGTACCACGAATTTTAAATGACGCCTATAAAGAGACTTCAGATTATTTTGCCTAATCTTTTTCTTAATCAAATTCGAAAAACAGTCAGCCTAGCAACTGTAGCAAAGTCGTTACTGGTGACGAATCATGATTCTGCAAGTACGATCCAGAAACCAAACAGCAGACAGGCCTGATATCAGTTGTCTGTTGACCTTCGTAAATTTAAAGTTGTAGACGACTTTGTCAATCATGGAACCAACATTGAGTTACTGTGGGCTGATCCAATTTGCCTCTTGATGTTTATCCAACAAATGTAGGGACCTACCCGCTTCCGAACAGCTGATGGGATTTTATGCGGAGCTTTATTTCGTGTCAGAAATGCACTCTGACGGCTGGTTATTCCCGTCACGAGAGGAATCAGAAGAATTAACTCAATTTTTTAATTTGAGTAATTTTCTATAATTTCCGATGTTGGTCGGATTCGGACTTGAAGGCTTTCTGAATTATATTACGCACTGCTAACCACTCGGCTATTGAGTAGAAAATACGGTAACATGGTTCTTGCACTTTAGCTATGGAAACATGCAGCTTTGGGGGGCTCGAAGCAGTAACCGCTAACGGAAGCAGAAATAATATACCTCATGAAGGTGATTGGATCAGGTTAGATGGGAAGTAACTGTCTTCTTTTGTTGTCTTCCGTTGGCGGTGATCCGATAGGTTCTACTGGTATGCATAAACTTGTAGTAAGGATCTTCATATTAACATACAAAAGAGCCTTCAAAGGCAAATGAAGAATCACTCTCTGAGGTTGGGAGCGTACAATACTGTTGAGTATAAATGATTCACGGTGTTCTACTTGTACACTAGATATTATCAATAATTACGGTTGAGATCATTCAAAAGGTCCTAGGTTGTTGCAGCTTGCAAGCGGAAATTGCAGAAAATAATAAGAACAGGAAGAATGAAATTCGAAATAAAGACGCCAACTTCACTCATTATTCCAAATCAGTGCCAAGGAAGCGCACTTCCCCTCGGCGAGGGCAATCGTATGTAGACTTTTAGACACGCGCGTCCCAAAATACACATGTCAAATACATATGTATGTACATACATACATACATATGTATGTATATTTGAATTTAGAATTGAACACTACATACGAGTGCATATATTTAATGGCCGATGAGACGCCGAAATGTTGCGAATTAACGTCAAAAGTCTAACGGTCCGCAGCCCGCAGCCCGCGAGTATGCATATTTGTATTGACAAATTTTAGGTTATGTTTTGTAGTATAGACGATATACAGCGATAAATAAAAATAACATTTAAATAAAACAAACGCACATACATACATACACACATACATGAAGATGTAGAGAAGCAGCAAGAACATCCAAATGCAGGCAATTGCAAGTAAAAACATAAACATAAACATAAACAACAGAAACGAAACAAGCGACGGGAAATTACGTTGAGCGCGCAATACGGAGGTCGGAAGCACAGCTGTGAACAAGGCAAGTGGAATTTATGACGGTGGGTAAAGTGACAGTTGACGTTAGTTGGGCTCGGTCGCTCGCTCGCTTTCTCTTTTTGTTATTATTATTATTATTTTTTTTTGATTTGAGGTTGTTTGTTGGAGGAAAGTGTGTGAAAAGCTCAATGTAGCTCGAAACATATTTATGTTTGTATGTGTTTTTTTTTTAGGTATTTTCTTTCGAAATAATTTTGAAGTCTAAAATAGAAATTTCTAGTTTATTCTTTTTAACAGTTTCTTCTATGATTATTGCAGAAAGCTTAATTGAGTTGGCTTCATATTTGCCTATGGACATTTTTGATTTTATAATATTTTAATAATATTGCTGACGCAAGTACCGACATACTCACAAAAATATAAGTACACACATACACACATGGGAATGCTTGAGGTCCCAAACAAAATATTGTGGCGAAAATGCGAGGCGAATGTCAGATGAAAGAGAGAAGCTGGTAACTAGTACATTCTAGAGCGATAAAACGAGAACCTCCGATATCGAACAACTCAATTGTTCTACACTTTCGTCTACGAGCAGCCGACTGCTATATAAGGGCGACACTCAGCTGCTAAGGGAGTAAGTTACAAAGTGAACTCGTTGGCGACAACAACAGTATAGAGTATAGCGGAATAAACTATTTGTTCATATTGAGTCGTAAAGTAAACGCGTTGCATTGTAATTGAATTGTGAATTACTGAGTAAATAAAGGACATTAGATAAATTCTTTATAACGAAAGAAACTGCAAATTAAATTGGCGATTTTTTATTTAACAATCCGGAGATCGTACCCGAAGGATTCAGAAAATCATCGAAACAATATGAAATGATTACCGCAGGAGCACTAAAATCGGTGAGTGTAAGAACTTTAGAGGAATCGTATCGCTGCTACAGAACCCATAGCATTTTTACCATACCAGGAAAGGAGCTACTACGAAGGGGAATGTGAGAGAGACATCAAGTGCTGAAGAAGGAATTACCAAATACCGGCTAGACGCCGAAAAATGTGAGCATGCAAAGCTTAAGAAACTGTTCCAGAGGCTTAATGTTTGGGTATATATAATGAGCGCTTTTGTAACCGCTGAAGCAATTTTCGGACGAGCTTCTCCTTCGATTTCTAGTTTTGCGTTTTGCTGTTTTTCCAACAAATGAAGAGACCTAGAGTTTGTACTAAGCCACCTCCGAACGGCAGACGTTCTTTTATGAGGAGTTCTTGATTTCATGTCAGAAATATCACATTCGGAAAAGTTGACATTCCTTGAAGGGTGGCGACCGCAATAAGAAAATTCTGATTATTTTTTTATTTAAATAAATTTTCTACAACTTTATGGATGTGGGTACGACACCAGAATTTGGACCCAAGCCTTTCAAAAGGCATTACGCAACGCTAAACACTCGCCTCCGGGGTATGTTCAGTTTATGAAGAGAACACTTTTGAAGCTTGCTCAACGGCGCCGAAAGCGAAACACGAGAAAATGGCGGGCTTACTGGAGCAATTCAGATCTGGATATTATAGTAGATATAGACTTTATTTCCAGATATACAGATTTGACTCTGACATATCTAACTTAAGTCCTGTAAGCATTAGCCATCTCCTTGTTTGTCAACAATGTCTGATCTAAGCTCGCCGAAACCCAACCGTTTCCTGGACATTCCTTCAGATGATCACACCGTCTCAGACTAGTTTGCCTCTCCTTTAACGGGGTTGGCGAGCCACTACCACAATAACAATATGAACACAAAATCGTATGCCCTATCGATGACGATGGAATAATAATTGTTTGCGGAGCCTACAGCCAATAGCCATCAAAGCTGTTGAAATATGGCGGAGAAGAACTGACAAAATACTAATTAGGCCTTATCAGTGTGGCTTTAGAACTGTTAAATCCACTATTGACCAGATATTCACCTAACGTCAAATCATGAAAAAGTCCCCTGAAGAGGTGAACGACACACAAATGCTTGATCGATTTGAAAGCAGCCTTCGATAGCACAAAAAGGAGCTACCACGGCAATATGTCTGAATTCGATAACTCCGCAAAACTTATACGTCTGTCTAAACTGACTTTAAGCAACACCCGAAAATTCCGGCGGGTTCTGGAGCCCTTCAATACCAAGCGAGGTCAGGCAAGGTGACTGTTTTTTGTGTGTCTTTTTTAATTTATTGCTAGGGTAAACTGGGGGTCTTTCCATTTGTTCGAAAAAACATCAAGACGCACATTATCAATTCGGGCAGGAGATCGGTCGAAAATCGGTTCAGCAGCTACCAAACGTCAACTATCCGTCCCATGTGTATACTTCTCCACGTTGCTAAGAGTTGAGACTTTCTTATGGCGCATTATGGCTTCACAACTGGGCTTGCACCACCCTCATCTTGTTACTGATTACTAGTAGCAACAACACTATGCCAATGGAAACAGGAAATCCTCACAATTTGGAGCGGCGCGTTGGGATCAAATTCGTTGTAAGAAAAGGCAATATGCAGAAAGTAATTATTATAGAGATGTCGCCGGTTTTTCGTGAGTTCGGCTATTTCAATGATTCGACAAGGAAGAAAGGTCTAAAAAAATGACCTGCGACCAGGGCGCCCAGTGACGGTCGTAACCGAAGGAAATGTTCAGAAAGTCGAAAAATTTGCACTGCCCGATAGAAGAATTAAATTGTGGCAGATAGCTGAAGGTTTACAGATTAGCATAGAAAGAGTTGGAGAGATTTTGAAGGAACATTTGAAAATGAAGAAAATAAGCGACGATTGGAGGTTTGCCAAGTTAATTTGCATGAAATTTGCAACCGCATTATAACAGTTGATGAAACTTGGATTCATTGGTATGATCCTGGGTCGAAACAGTAGTCGATGGAGTGTATAGAAAAAGGAGAAAGGTCACGAAAAAAATGCAAAACGAAAAAGAAGGCGTCGAAGATTATGGCTACCATTTTCTGTGATAGCGAGGGAATATTATTAATTAATTACTTGCTACAGGGGACTACAATGATTCGTCAGTATTACGGTAATTTGTTGAATCAGACGCGTGAGGCAGCGGCACTGAAGAGACATGGCCAGTTAGCGCGTGGAGTGATGTTTCATCAAGACAACGCACTCGTTCGCACTGCTCGGGTTGCCAAGGATGCCTGCAACGCCACTTTATTTACAGAAATAGAACCAGCCATCCTACAGTCCGCATCTGGCTCCCGGTGACTTTTTAATTTTTTCAAAAAAAGAGTTACGCTCACGAAGATGTGCAGACGTCAGTGAGTTGAGAGAATATTTGTCAGTGGTATAAAGCCATGGTATGTATTGGACTTGAGGGAGACTACGAGTATATTGAAAAAAAAAAATAAAAAATATTAAATCATTGTTTCATTAAGTACTCAAGATTGCGTCCTAATCTTAGCATGCGCCCCCATAGATATCTGCTAAACATTCACTAATAATTCAATCAAGTCAAAATAAACTTACCTTAAGAACTGCTTTGCTGCTTCCCTCGACTCTTGTCCTTCTTGACTAGTTTCTATGTGCTTTTGCGCTGCTTGAAAGTTCACTTTTGGTTCAATTGGTATGGGATTAATTTCACTAGGCGAGCTGTTATTAATATTTATGTTGTTGTTATTGTTGTTGTTTTTGTTTTTAATACACTCACAAACAATTTCAATAAATTTTTTTGTTTTATTTTGCTTATTAAAATAATTTTTGTTAATAATTTGATTAAAATCACAGAAAATCAACACTATTAATTTAGCGCTTAAAATTGCTATTTTTTCTACTACAATTACTTTAATTATTATTATTATAAGTTTTCGTGTTGTTGTTGTTGTTGTATTTGTTGCAGTTGTATTATAAAAGGAACCTCCAATTAACTCACCATAAGCGCATAAATCTTCAGTTATTTTCAACTCACTAACACTATCAAAATGATGTTTATTTATATGAATTTCCTGTTTACTCTTATTATAATAATTAATTTTACTATCGTTTCTTGTTCTTCTTAAACGCGGATCACGTGGTGTATAGTGTAGAAAGACTTTATTCGATTTACTGCTATTATTGTAAGTACGATGATTGTTCGACGTGAACGAGTTATTATTGAATAAAAAACGCAATATAACAAGGGCGGCCACCGTGATGTTGTTGTTATTACAATGCGACAAGGACGAGGATAAGGACAAAGATGAGCCCGAGGTTGGTTGTAGTGATGTTGATGATGCTGTTGCGAAGCGACGTACACCGTCTACTTGGCGATAGAGTGGGTTTGTGGGAGTGTTGTTGGCGGCCTCACTGGTGTTGGTGTTGGTGTTGTTCTTTTTATTGTTATTTGTTGTTGTTTGAGCGCTGCTTGACAAAGTTTTTGGTTGTTTATTGTTGTTGTTGACACTGTTTTTATTTCTATTACTGTTATTTCTGTTACTTTCGAACACTGTTCTAATAGCTTTGAATAATGACGCTTTTGTTACGGTAAATTCTATTAATTTTTCAATTACTGTTTTTACTATTGTTGTTGCTGTTGTTGTTGCTACTATTATTGGCTTACAAGTGGTTTGTTGGCGAATGTCATTCATTAAGAACGCTAATCCCGTCGATATCACAGCGTTGTGCAGGCAGCGGCGGAAATATGGCTGAACGTTTACGGTGTTGACGATGACGATGTTGGTGACAATGATGATATTGATGATGATGCTGATGAAAATAAGTACAAGTGCAATAAGGGACACCAACAATAACGGTGTTAACACTGTTGGCGCTGCTGAGTTGTATGAGTTGCGTTCCGAACGCGCCACACACTCGACGTCTCTTAATTGGCGGTTAAAATATTGCTTTGATCTAAAGGCTACAGCAGCTGCACACGCGGCTACACCACTTTTACGACTGCGGCTGTTGGATTGTATTGTGTGCCCTACTTGAATTGTTAATAATAAATATTTTCTATTTAATTTTGCTACTGCTGCTGCTGCTGCTGTTGCTGCTGCCGCTAGCGCGTGTCGTCTGAGAAATTTCGCTTTGAATTTAGTTGCACTTTTGCAAGGCGTCAGCTGCGGTTGTGGCGTTGGCGTCGTCGTCGTCGTTGTTGTCGTCCACAACGTCTTTGGCAGAATCACAAAAACCGATAGAATCCACATGCGGCAAGTAGTAGTTTATCGCTCACGAGTGTGCGTATTGGGTAATTGTGAAAAATTATTTATTTATTTCCTTCGAAGTACATACAGACATATGTATATATAAACATATATGTGTTCCTTAATTTTTTTAATTTTTTTTATATTTTTTTTTTGTTAATTTTTTTTGGCAAACGAAAGTCTGCACAAAACTCAACGAAAGCAAAAAAAGGAAAAAGAAAAAATTGTTTTTGTATTTTTTTTTCACTCGCCTCCCGCTGTAGCGTCTCTTTTGCGAAAAAAAAATTTAATTAATTTATTTTTTTTTTAAATTTTCAATATTTTCTTGTCTGCGTACTAATTGTTTTTCACTTTTAATGTATTTTGTTTTTATTTTGTCTTTCAACACTTTTTTCTTTTCTAATTTGCGCACTTTTTAAGCGTCACCAACGCATTCGCTATACTTGTTGTTGGTGTATGTCAAGTGTACTGTTGACATTGTCGCTGCGGCGTAAACATTTTTGAGAAATTTGAAATTTGACTTTGCGTTTAAATAACGGTAATGTTGTTTTTAGTTTGGTCCACTTCGAAGGCAATTAATTTGCGTCAAATGTAGAAATGGCTACTGCTGCTGATGCGCACTTTCCGGCGTTGTTTTTGTTTTTCAGTTAAAGCGTTTTTTTTTTTATTTATAATTTGTGATGGCAAACTGTAAAGAATAAAGAGAGAAAAGAAATATTTGATTAATCATTCGCAGCTGATAGAGAACTTAAGGGTTGATAATCTATAATTAATACACATACGTATATATATAAACGTTTGTCTGTCTGTATGTTTTCTGTGACTTCCGAGACTACAGAGCAACTTAAAGTGTCAGTTTTCCCAGTTTGTTTCTATGGTAACTGGAGGGGTTTGTAAGAAAACATTTTTACGAAAACCGGACCACGGACTGTTCCAAAATATTTCTAAAAAAAAAGTTTATGGTTCAATTTACGTGAAATTCGGTTCAAAGGTGACTTCTAGATTAGATTATCCTAAAGACTACTCTTTTCACCGTGATCTGTATCAGACGCCCACTTATTCCAAAAACGATATCTAGGTGGCTTTTTGCTTAGATTAAGAGAAAAACTACTCCCTTCTTCAGGATCTGGACCAGAGACGGGTCTATTTGGAAAAAATCGTTTTCATAGTTCTTTTTACTTTAAACACAAGGAGGATAGAAGGTACAATCTTCTATAACTGCTGGAAAAGAAAGCGAGGTGCATGAGTCTGCTAGTTAACGTGAACAAGACGAAGTATATTCAGTCGCATCACAATTCCACTGTGCTCACAAATCACAAAATGTTGAACGCATCTTTATATATGCATTTCGTATGGTTTGAGGCTTATCTAAACCTCTTTTATGCTTTGAGTACGGCAAGCAATTGCTAAACAACTCCATATCTGGCACAAGGTCAACTTTACTCACACTACACTACACCACCAGGATATCCCCAAGGGCTTTGGCGCATTAATACGTCGGAGCAACCGCCGCTCTACTCGCAGCCGAAACTACTAATAGTTGATCTCCAGACTAATGACCTATGGTTGAATCCCTTACACCAAGTACATATCAACAATTCACGCGCAAAGAACTGTATTCTATCCACAAGAGAGAGCACCGTTCCTTGCATATGTCCCATACCAACCAGCTTTTTAATGTTCGAGTACATGGGACATGCTCTGTTCCACATTCTGTTCCTCACTTAAAAATGCTCTAAGAAGTCCATAAACTGGAGTCTGGATTTTTTGCTACAAACGAAACATCCCGAAGTCCTCATCATTTCTGTACGACACTGGACAGCTTTAAGAGTCTTCGAAAGAGAGATTTTTAGAAAGATTTATGGAACGCAACGTATAAGCCAGGGCGAATATTAAGCTATACCAGATATAAGACGACATTGAAGTAAGCATATAAATCATACATACGAGGGGATTAAGAAAAGTTCGGTCAGTTGGTGACTTTAAATTTGTGTTTTTTTTTTTTTTTTTTAAATGTAAAAATATCAAATCCTATTCAATTACTTTATTAGACTATTTCTAAGTGGTTCTTAAGATGCCAGGCCAGACATTTTTCCGTAGACGACCAGCTCCGAGAAGGCCGACCAAAATCTTTCACTGTTGACTTCACTGTAGCTCTAGTGAAGTTCAAAATTGACAAAGACCCGCAGTTACCACAAGAAATGATTGCTAAAGAAAAGGGCTGAGGCTGTGTCGCGAATATTAAGGGTATACGAAGAAAATTGCATGATGGGTACCATGAATTTGAAATGAGCTATCGTAGGTATTTAGCTCAAACAAATACGAATATGGTCAGTCAAGCAACTATAGTAAAGTCTTTACTGGTGATGAATCTTGTTTCTATAAGTACGATCCAAAAACCAAACAGCAGACATGGTATGGAGCCCAACAGGTGAAAATCCACCAGTAAAAACTAAGACACAAATATCAGCAGAGAAATTAATGTCAGTTTACTTCACCCGATATTTAATCGTAGCTGCTTCTTGGAAAAGGGTCAGACGCTAACTGCAAAATATTGCACCGAAGAGTGCTCACCAAGAGTTTTCAAAAATTTGTTGAAAAACAGGAAGAAAGAGGATTTGTGACGCTACTCTTTACATCATGACAACGCGTCATGCCACACTGATCAAATAACGAATAAATTTATGGCGCTATCTTCCAATAAATACCTTCCCTGGATATGGTAACTTGTGGTTTCTGATTATTTTCAAGAATTAAAGAAAAATCAAAAGGAAACGTATTTAATAGCAACGAGGAGATAATTAATGCGGTTTATGCTGAACTTGTTAAGCTTAAAAGGCAAGATCTTGAAGACTTTTTTCAGAAGTGGATCTTGAAGCTTGAGAAACGCATTGAAATCAATGGCGATTATGTAGAGAAGATGAAAAAGGACAAAGTTTACGAATCAATACAAAAAAAAATATTTTTTTTCTGGTCAGCCTACCGAACTTTTGTTAATCCCCTCGTACATATTGTACATACATATATTGTACGAGTATATCAACTGATGCTTGCATGTCAATAATGCCTATCAGTCAATCAGATATCTTTTTTTTGGCATTTGGAAGCATGCTCAAGCGAAGTTCAACGTTCGATAGCAACCATAATAAATATAAAATGGGCAAAAAGAAAAAATATCATTGGGGTGCAACAAAATCTTTCCTAATATGAAATAGTATGATATGAAACTGAGTTTTGAAAAGGAAAAAATTTGTTTTCGAAAACACTTGAGCCGAAATTAAAATATTCGTTTGTGGAGTACACAGAGTTGACAGTCTTTGAACCTCTTAGATTTAATTCCACTCTTACCACATGCAATTCTACCTACACCACAGGGGTAGAGATCATCATGTCTAGTTTTCCAAAAAAAAAAAAAAAAAAAAAAAAAAAAAAAAATTGCGGTGCTTCGTACGCGAACAACTGTTGTTAGATTCGGCTCATATTGACACAACTATATATATAGTCGATTGTTGTTTACTTTGTGTGCTGGTCACACTAATGCTCACAGTTCTCCCAATCCCACGATGGTTCACATGGCAATCTTGCAATATCAGTTTGCCCAAAGCACCAATAGTTTCCCGACCAGCAACTGATTTTGGACGAGGTTCACGCAATACGCCTTGGAGTGATCTGCGAGCACGATAGAATTCACCAAACCATCGATAAACACTGGTTCTCGATGGAGTTTCTTTGCAAAAAAAAAATTAATTAATTCCATTGATGCACTGCTGCTGAGTTAATCCACACGAAAGGTTGTGAAAACTAATTACGTGAAAATGTTCCCGATTTAATTTCATTTTTTGGCCGAGATAAATATTTTAAGTCACTGTAAGCAACATAAAAAGTGCTCGTATGTCAAGAGATTCTGAGCACGTATAAAAAATTTGAAAATTTACGATAAAGTTGTCGGTTGCCAGTTTGTTACATCGAAAATGTAAATGCAAGGCTCGTATAATGTGATTCTTTTTTTTTTATTAATATTTACGTTTCAAGCCAATAAATATACTGTCATTAAGCCAGCTCGATTGCATTAATAATCAATAATAATAAAAAAAATTATAAAAAATGCTTTGAACTGATTTTTGCATATTTTTTTATATTCCTGAGAATCTCTCAACTGAGTTGCGATGAATTCTGTACCTATTTCCATTATTCATATAAAAGTATTTATGTATGTATGCGACGCTTCATCTCTTGATCGACGCCAATAATCGCATTGACGATTTTGACCTAGTTCAACAAAAAAGAGAGAGAATTCTACTACAAACTTTGCTACTTTTTGATTGAAACTAAATTTGTATAGTGCATGCTACTTGCCGTAGCGTCAGGGTCTCATGTCTTGGCCAATGCTTATACAAATTTATTTCTAGACTCTCATCACAAAGAATTAAGCACTGTGGAGTATTATGCATAGTTTAATACAACAAATGTTGAGTTTGTATTTAAATAAACTAAAAATAAAATAATTAAATAATATTACGTTGCTAGATACATAAATGTTTATGTTTTACCATTTAATAAATAATCTTGCCATCAATATTAAATTTTCAGAGTCTGCTGGTTGCTCTAGTGTTGTTGGCGGCTTATCTTAGTAACCCAATTATTTCGCAAGTATATGCATGTATGTACATATGTGTATGCTGAAATATTCCATATCACCGGTTTAACATAAAAATTTAGTTAATTCAAGATAACAACAAACACAACAGTACACAACGTATACGCGAAGGCCGACAGGCGCGTATAGAGTGAAGGGAGATTATTTATTTATTTTTTTATTGGATATTTTTTTTCGTTATGTTTAGTTAATTTTATAATACATCACTTTAACTTTTGTTTAATTTTTTTAATTTATTTTATTTTTAAATTATTATTTCATTAAATGAAATTATTTCATTAAATTTATTTATTATTCCTTTTTTATATATTTTTTTATTTATTTTTATTTCAATTTATTTTGCTTTATTATTTTATTTTATTAATTTCATTTTATTATTATTTGATTTATATATTTATTTATTAATTTTTTAAGTAAATTTTGTATAGAGTGAAGGGAGATTATTTATTTATTTTTTTAATAGAGACATTGTGTGATGTTTAGTTAATTTCTTTTATTTTTAAATTATTATTTCATTAAATCAATTTATTTCATTATATTTAACAAAGTTTCATTTTATTTCATTAATTTCATTTATTATTCCTTTTATATATATTTTTTTATTTATTTTTATTTCAATTTATTTTGCTTTATTATTTTATTTTATAAAAATCATTTTATTATTATTTGATTTATATGCTTACTAATTAATTTTTTTAAGTGATTTTTATATTTTCATTTTATTTTTATTAACTTTTTCATTTCAATTCAAATTAATTGACTTTAATTTAACTTAATCCTGGTACGATCAACAGTCAAATGTTATTGAAAATTAATTTATATAAAATATTAAGTTAAATTTTCTAATTGCGGTCGCACATTGAACTTTATTTAATTTTTTATCTTTATCAGTTTTTTATTTTTTGCGTTCTCTTATATTTAATTATTTAATTAGTTTTTAATTTATTTTTCAATTTATATTTTTTTTTATTAAAACATATTCTATTTCTCTTTTTCATTTAGTTTATTTCATTTTAATTGGATTCACTTTAAGTAGTATTTTTTATTTAATTAATTTTTTTTTTAATTTTATTAGTTTGAATATGTTAAAATTTAATAGTATTTCATTTTAATAGTTTTTCGTAATTTATTTCATTTCTATTTACTTTATAAATTTTATTCAGTTTTTTATTTTAATTATTTAATTTTATTTTATTTCGCTTAAATATTCATTAATTTATTTTGCTAATTTTTATTTTATTTAATTATTTTTATTTAACTTTATATTAATTTATTTTATATTTAGTGTCTTATTTAACTTTATGGATTTAAAAATAGTTTAATTTAGTATAATTTTGAAATTTTTTGTAGTTTTAGTACTTTTTTAAATAAATTTAATTCAATTTCATTTTTTTAACTATTTTGTTTCAAATTTTTTTCCACTAATTTTATTTTGTAAAGTTATATTTTGCTTTTTTGATTTCATATTTCATTTCATTGGATATTATTTAATTTATTTTTTTTAGTTATTATATTTTATTTTGGTTTAGTTTATTTTGTTTTATTTTCCCTAACTTAATTTTTTTTTGTTAATTTAATTAAATTTTTAGTTTTTATTTACGTTTTATTTAAAACTGAAATTTAATTTTAACTTAATATTTCAATTAAATTTTTTTTTAATATATTTTACTTTATTTTAATTTTCTTTAACAATTTTAATAGTAATAACAATCAATTTAATTTAAAGTAACTTTATTTAAAAAATTTTTTTATTTTTTTGTTGCTCATTAAATTAATTAATTTTTTTTTAATTTTTTTTTATTTTAATTAGGTTTAAATTAATTCAGATTTTTTAATTAAATTTTAGCTATATTTTTTTAAATTTAATATTTTAATTTTAATTTTTTTTTAATATTATATTATATAACGTAATTAAACAAATTTTTAATTTTATTTTTTTTAATTAGTTTTATTTAATTTCTTTTTTTTTTTTATATACGTATTTGATTTTTTTATTTTTTTTTTGTTATTTTAGTTTAACAATTTTAGTAGTAATAACATAATTCAATTTAAGTTTAAGTAACTTTATTTAAATTTTTTTAAATATATTTTTTTTATATTTTTGTTGCACATTAATATAATTAATTTTCTTTTGCTAATTTGTATTATTTTAAATTGTGAATTCCGTTTTTTAATGAAGCTTATTTTAATTTAAATTTGTTTAATTAATTTTTTACTATATTTTCTTTAATATAATATTTTTATTTAAATTTTTTTTTAATATTATATTATATACCGTAATTAAATTCATTTTTATTTTTGATTTTTTCAATTAGTATTATTTAATTTCTTTTTTTATGTGTATGGTTTAATTGTTTTTTTTTTAGTGCACTAAATTATTTAATTAAATTTTGGTTGGTGTTTTAATTTTTTTTATTTAATTTCTTTTTTTTTGTTTTGTATACAATATTTGATTTAAATGTTTTTGTTTTTTTTTTGTTTTGTTAGTGCATTCAATTTTATATTATTTAATTCAATTTTGGTTTTTGTTTTAAATTTTTCTTTTATTTTTCATTTAATTTTACTCAATTTAATTTAAATTTTTTTTATTTTTATGTAATATTACTTTCTTTTATTGTAAATTTTACATTTTATTTTATTACTTTTATTTATTCAATATTATATTAATTACGATAAAGGTATATTTTGTTTATTTATTGTTTATTAATATCACAATTATTTTTCACTTGCGCATTCGCCTTAATGTATGCTACACTTTGTTTACACCACGTGATCGCTTAAGAATGACTAGCATTTAATTTTATTTTTTCTGTTCTGTTCTTTTTCGCACACTCACAAGCCACTTTAACGGTATATTACACCAATGTCGCCCGCTCAACCAGCTTAACAACCTACCACACGACACTCACACACTTACACAAGTCCGTTCTGACATATGCATTGCTTACTGTCAACCGGCCGACTAACTGACTGACTAAATAACTGATTGACTCAGTGACTAGTACGCGGAACGACTTGATATGTGACGCGATTTGCCTCGCACACACTCCTTGATGTATGAGATCGAGTAAAAAGACTGAATGGGCTGAGTGCGTCGTTTGAACTGCTAAGCACAAAGCAAAAATCTTTATGTCTGTATATTAAAATAGTAAACTATAATAAAAGCCTACAGCCATATCTGTTAGTGCATATCTCTGTATTTCTGTCAATACACATACACCTACATACGTATATATAAATATATGTATACAAAGGTAATGATAACGCTCGCCACTCGTTGTTCGATCGCATGAGAGGGATGGAGGGCAAATATGTGTGTGTGCATGTGTGTATGTGGGAAGTTACAGTTCTTGAAAAAAAACGGTACCTAAATCATTGTCATTTTCTTAAAGCGCGTCTGCCGACTGAAAAAGCCGACTCACTTGCCTAAGTCGTCACTCAATTAGATTTGCTTAATTTTTTCATAGCCACACACATGCATATATGTAGGTATGTACATACTCGAATATATATATATACATGTGCTTGCGGCAATATTCACATGTTCGCTCGTTGCTCATTTCTAGCTTTCTGCTCGCATTTAAACGTTGACACTAATCTAATAAAATTTTCTTATCACAAAGCGTAATTTTTATTGCATTTAGTTGTACATGCATGCATACATACATACATGCATACATACATACATACATATGTATATATCAATATAATAGTTTTATTGTTGTTGTTATCGTCGCTTGATCGGTTCGTGTCTGTATCGCAATTTTTCTTTTCATAATTTTTTTTTGTTGTATTTATTTTTTTTATTGTTGCTATTTATATTTAACTGGCATTTATTTGTGTTGGTCCACTATGATTATAGTTTTTCGTACTAATATTGTTGTTATTGTTGCTGTTCTTATTGTGTTTATTTTTGTCCACGCGTTATAGAAACATAAATATTTGAGAGCGATTACTTACATAAATACATTCAATAATAATATATTTAATTGCTTGCGTATTAGGGTGATCAGCTCAGGTGGACGAGATGCCGTTGAATTTTTTACAAAAAAAAAAATATTAATAATTATAATGAATTTTGAGATTTGAAAAAAATAATAATATTATTAATTACAAAAAAAAAAGAAATGCGCACAAGTCACTTCACGAGAGAGGGAGAGAGAGCTATGTATTCACATATGATTCACGCAGCTCAAGACATTCGGTGTTAGACCAAGTCTCCTCCTCTAGGTAGCCAATAAACATACGTTTGGAGTGAGAACGTTACCTCTTGTGGTTGTACATTAAGTTTGTGACCCAGCCCATAAAACATCTCATAATTAGCGCTTTGTACCCGCTGAAGCGATTTTTGGCAGAGCTCCTCCTCCAATTTTTGGTAAGCGCCTTAATGATTTTCCAACAAATGGAGGGACCAACAATTTCTACCAAGCCACCTTCGAACGGCCGACGAATTTTTATTAGGAGTTTTTTTATTTCTTCTTCATTACACTCCACACACACATTCTGTATCGAGGGGTGAACGCAATTAGAAAAATTAATTTTGGATGTTTGTCGAAAAACGACTCACCTTTGGAATGACAGTATGCAATGCTAACCACTCGGCTGTTGCGTCCGCCAACTGCACCAATGAAATCCCAACTCACAAAAAAGAATCAAATGGTCTTAAGGACTATTATTGGAATGTCAAATCCCATATATAGGAATGTGCCGCTACCCAGCTGATTGATATCATTGTCGAGCTGACATCACCCTCCTTCAGGCAGTGCACTCAATGGAACAGGGATGGAAGAAGGTGAATCCTTGTGTAAGGTCATATAAAGGACGGCAATTTGGTGCCGGATTGGTGGTGTGAGAGAGAGTCCATCACCGAGTTCTGACATTCTCAGCGATGAACGAACATCTATGGACACTCCAGCTCAAAGCGCATGGGTACCGATGAAAGACAAGAATGAAGTGACCAAAGATGTTTTATGTGAGCGCTGCAATCGTCAAAATGTTAAAAATGTACCTGGCGAATCTAAAACCAGGGTGAGCTAAGCAGATGTATTCGGCCCAACATTCAGGATATTTAATCTCTAAGACGAAACATCGCCATAAAGCTATATGTTTGTTACTCGATCGACAAACTTACAACTAGTCCGGTCAAGTTGTGAGGGAGGTACGGACAAGACTGCTTTA